TTATACCAGCAAGAGCAGCTGTCTGACCTCGCGGCAAGCCAGTTTGAGCAGCTAAGAGACAGAAAAAAAATATTGCTTCTTTCTGTCGGTTCAGCTTCCTACCCTGGATTACCATGGGGCCAGACAAACGCCAAGTGCAAGCACATGGGGCTGGTGAGAACACGCAGCCAGTGTAAGCAGGAAAAGCAACTGCATCTTCCAGCAACCATCAGCACTACAACACTTTAACTGAAATGGCAGGCATTTAATTCTCTCCTGACAGAAAAAAAATATTGCTTCTTTCTGTCGGTTCAGCTTCCTACCCTGGATTACCATGGGGCCAGACAAACGCCAAGTGCAAGCACATGGGGCTGGTGAGAACACGCAGCCAGTGTAAGCAGGAAAAGCAACTGCATCTTCCAGCAACCATCAGCACTACAACACTTTAACTGAAATGGCAGGCATTTAATTCTCTCCTCGTACAGCACAGAAACTTAGATACTTACCTGGTGCTTGGGAGTTCAAGATTGCACTACTAAATCTATGTTCCCTTTGTGGGTCTGGCCTTTGGGCTTCTGCTAAATAAGCCTAATTGATAAAAGTTAGCGACTAAACTGAGATGCACCATCTGTTTATGTCAGTGACAGAAATCATAAGAAAATATACTGTATCTCACCTCTAAAATGTGTCGACATTTAACAATTTAAGCTGCATTGTTCAGTATTTTATGCGTATCTTTTCCCAAAAGCTTTTCTTACAGCATATAAATGCTCTATTCAATTTGAGCACAGTAGATGGAAAAGCAATGTGCTTATGGTGGGATGTCTGCCTCTGATTCGAACATGATAAAAACCAAGTTCATTCTTACATAATCAAAATAAAAGTTTTTATTCAGTTCATGATATTTCTGATTAGGTATTCTATTTGCCCAAATACTTACTCCATGTAAGGAAATGTGAACCATAAATACAATGTAAGAGCAGCAAAACAAAACACACCCATTCAAAACAGAAGCAGGGAGAACTTTGTTCACTGTCCTTCCAAGGAATAGCTGTAATCAGTCTGTCTGCCAAATCGATGCACAAAGTCTGGAAGGGGAAACACCGAGCCCCATCCCACCTTGGGATTCATACTGATGAAATCATCCAAGTTCATCTTGGAGTCTAAGAAAAGACCAGAAAAGGGAAATATTTAAGTTCCTGATGCAGCTTCTGTACCACCCGTATATGTCTATCAAGAAAATGCCCGACCCCCCCCCCCAGTTCAAAACAGTGAAGAGGTCGTAGCACACTTGCTGAGCAGCAGTCCGGCAAGATTCTGCAAATTGTACAGTGCTACGGAAACATCTATTTCTAGTCTCTGAAATACTGCTTTTGCTCCTGATCCATCTCTCTGCCCATGGCAATAATCACCTTACTGGATCAATACGCACCTTTAGTCACTAGAAACTAGTATGTGTAGGAAAGAGTAAGATTTTGTCCTGCAACAGCAGCCTAGAAAGGGTCGGGTAGTGTCAAAGAACTGGAGTGCAAATAACAACCAACCCAGGGAACTGCAATGCCACAGGCGCTTGTAGTTTTCCCGCATTCACACAATCTGATTACTCAAAAGCAGGGAAGACATTATTCCCTATTAAGTTCTGAACCGAAGTCAGTCAACCAAGTCAGCTTTTGCACTGACTACAGAGGAACGGGATCAGTGCAGCCGTCAGAACTGGAAGTTGCTTATCATCTCTCAGAAGCGATTGGCCCCTTGGCAAACCTACAGTTTGTTACTCCCCAGACTACAGTTATCTGCTCTGTATTTGCTTTCCCTCCAGCCCTGAACTTTGTCCTTGCTGTACACGGCCCAGCCCACTGCAAGGCCAGAATACGCGGACAGGAGGAAAGGCCTGGCCTAACCCAGCCCGTAGCCTAGAGGGATTCTCAGGCAAAGAAGGGCACAAACCTAGGCTGGGAGCAAACACTTTTTTTTTAATCCTGAACCACTGAATGAAGTCAGGGAGGGAAAGGTTAACTGCCGTAGTTTCAAGGGAAAAGGAACCATGACTGCTCTTTAAATCACACAGAATCACAGAGTCACAGAATGGCAAGGGTTGGAAGAGACCTCGGGAGATCATCCAGTCCACCCCTCTCTGCTAAAGCAGGTTCTTCTAGAGCAGGTTGCACAGGACTTCATACAAGCGGGCTTTGAATATCTCCAGAGAAGGAGCCTCCCCAACCTCTCTGGGCAGCCTGTGCCAGTGCTCTGTCACCCTCAAAGTAAAGAAG